TTTTTTTTTGGTACAGGAATCTTCCGGTTTCCGGATCCACAAGGGAACCGACTAATCCGGAATCGAGCCAGGTAGGACCACAAGGGCGGCAAATAAATATGTAAAGTTTGCAAATAAATAAAGCTTAATTATTTAAGAAATATTAACAAATTATTTTTCATGCCCAAAACTATGTTAATGATGGTAATATATATAGGTACATTGTATATATATAGATATCGATTTTTATAAACATATATATTTTTTTAGTGATTACCAATTGCCACTTAAATTCTTGAGTGTAATTTTTATTTATCCTATTTATTAAAAATATATAATTAAAATTTTATTTTTCTCACAAATAATTAACTTTTAATTATGAATGTGTGTGTGTATGTGTTTATATTTTACTGTCGATATTTTCTTTAAAAATCACTCACCATCAAAACAAAACTTGTACTAAAACATGTTGATACCCAATTTGGCTCCAATTAAATAAACGGTAAGTAATATAATAAAGAGCGACCCGATAACCAAGGAGCCGAAATACATAAATACACACACAGGTTTTCGAGACTGATTAGCCAGAAGCTGCCGATCGAAGCCGTCAGAAGTCATAACCGGGCTGATGATTATTTCACATTATATAATTATGTACCATTTTTTATTAGCCCACTTGCAAAATGGGCCATGTATATGTATCAAAAGAGAAGGAGAGGAGGGGATTTTTTGATTCTCCTCATTCTTCTACCTAAATCACCAAAAGAGAGAAGAAACTCTTTAAAAAAATAAGAAATAAAATACACATTTTCTATCATTTTGTTCTCTAATTTCGTTCAAGAAATTTGACTCTTATTTATAGTTGATCGTCCGATTTTCGACATCAATAAAACATTTATATCTTAATTTGGATATATCATTAAAAAAATTAATAAAAATCTTCATGAATTTTTTAGATCAAATTTTAATTCAATCAATAATTGGTTTAAATCTTCTCAAATTTGAACTAATCAATTTTAGTTTTATTTAATAAACTAATGCCTAATAGTAATTGTCAAAATTGTCGAAATATTTGGGTGAAAAAATTTGTGACAAATATAATAAAATGGATTGATCCATTATATAAATACATATAGATATAAATATTATAGATCCTATTGACACTAAATATCTATGAGTTCACACTCAACGATTTGTGTAGCAAATGAGTCAAGCATTAACCTTATTAAAAGTACGCTCAATTTTTATTGTTGCTCAAGCTACACGAGCCGAACATTTTAGGCTCTGCTCGGCTCGACAAATAATGCAAGCGCTTTAGATCAGCTTGAATTTTACTCAATGTTGGCTTGAAATTTCAATAGAATAATATTTAATGAGGGGCATTTAAGATAATATCGTATATATTCGAACTTCTCGTCGTATACTTAAACATATAAACTATAGGCTCGAGTCCGTCTCGAGTTTAAATTCAAAATACTCATCCTCAATCAAATTCAAACTCAGATTGGTGAAGCTCACGAGCCACTCGATTCGTTTGCATCTAAAGTACTCAAGCTCGATCAAATTCAAACTCAAGTGGTTTTAAACTCACGAGCCACTCGATTCATTTGCAATCACACACCACTTGGTTGTTAAAACGCCAATATCTTGATGAATGTGACGGTCCATCCATTTGAAAGAGAACTATTAAAATGAAACGAAGTTGCTACATATAGTAAGTAATATTAACATCTGCTGGATGTATTTATCAAGCTTAATGAGGTGATTATGCTTATCTATCACAAGCAATCCTTAACCCAAAACACACAAATCTGTCTTCATATTTTTCACGTACATTGCATCACAAACACAAACCAAATAACAAAATAATGAACGAATCAAATCATAACGAACCGTAAGAGTAACATCCTAACCAAAAAAAAAAAAGGAAATGAAAACAATAGTTAAAACTCTTTCCGAGCAAATACACGTGACCCAGAGACGATAACCTGAACTTACATTTACATACACACTCGCGCGCTCGGTTTATAAACAATCGATCAAGATTAAGATCAAGCCGCCTCTGCAGATAAAATTTCGAGCTCGGCCCACCAAAGAGGGGAGAGCCTCGGAGTTGCTGCCTCGGGCGAGACATCAATGACTTCCCTCAATTTCTGTATGATTTCTTTCATTGAAGGTCTTTTTCTCGGTTCTTGGTGGATGCAACATTTGATTACCTCACACACGACCTCGAGCTCCTTTTCATTGAACGACTTTAAGGTGGGGTCCACCATCTTGCTGATGGTCTTGTCGTACAAGTACTGAGCAGTCTGGATAAAATTTCGACCGATATTTTCTATAAAAACAGGCATATATTTGGGCAAAAATACAAGTATGTGGATTGAATAAATAAATATTGTACATATTGAAAAACATACCCAGTCTGCGAGATTGCTTTTCTCGGCCGAGTGAGGGAGCATCCCCGAAATTATTTCCAGCAAAAGCATCCCGAAACTGTGGATATTTGTTTCCACGTCAGCAAGTGGAGGTAGTTCCGAATGGTCCGACTCGCTTTCTCCCTTATTCTTGGATTTGACCATGAGTTCCAGCCAGAAACCAACATCAGCAATCTGCAAACCACAAATTTCTTCGATAATTAAAAAAAAAAAAAAATGAATTCACAACTTTTTACATTTTACTTTTTGTTTTGGTTTAGATAAAGAACTTAAAGAACCCTACTTTAGCAGCATAGTCATCCGTTAAGTAAATTTCTTTGGAAGTCAAGTTGATGTGGGCCACTGGTGGATTGAGCTCGTGCATGTACTGAAGGCAATAGGCAGCCCCCATCATGATCCTCGTCCTAGCGTTCCAGTCGAGGTGCTCTAAGTCTTCTTTTGAAATGATGATTAAGAAAATAATACGTATAACTCAATGTTGTGAAAAAGAAAATCGAATGAAAGAAACTAAAATTTAATCAAATTATGAATTTTTTTACCATGCAGGTGCTCGAAGAGAGTGCCGTTGGGAGCATACTCAAAAACCATCATCCTAGTGAAAGGCTCATCTTCCTCACAATAACCGATAAGGTTTACAAAGTTCTTGTGATTCACACGGGACAAACAATCAATCTGTAGTGATAGCAAAATGAGTACATTCCACATGATAAAAAAACTCATATATTTGGGAGCCTCGCGAGCCTCGCGAAAATGAGGAATAATAACAATAATAATAATAATAATAATAATAATAATAATAATAATAATAATAATAATAATAATAATAATAATATCTGTCGACTTACTAACCTTCTTCCTGAAAGCTAATTCCGCACGTTTAGACCATTCGTTTATGGAGCCTACAGCAGTCGAGACAACAGCAATCTCAACTCCACTGGATAGAGTGCCCTTGTAAAGAGTAGACACACCATCATAGACCCTTATAATATTACTGAAATCCTCACATGCAGTTTCTAGCTCGGCCCTGTTTAACTTCGGAACCCCTACAAATAATAATAGTAACAATAAATAATTATAATAATAAGATATTCTATTGTAAGCAGGTTACCTAATTTATGTTACTTTAAAAGAAAAAATAAAATAAAATTCTTTGGAAAAAAAGAAAAAACTTAATTTATTGGGATGCTTCAAAGCTAAATAATAAACTAAACCTGCAAATATCTTTTTCTTACTGAGATGAAAAGAAGTGTTCGAAAACACGACCAAGAAAATAAAAAAATTTAAAGCATACCCGTAATAAAGGCCTTTTGCAACTGCCCACTCAATCCCGACTTCCAAGGTCTAATCGTCCTAGCTGCTCTGCTTCTGAAGACAGCAAACAAAACTAACGGGAAAACAAGCAAGAAGAGAACAGCGCACGATATTCCTATTATGACCTTCGTCGAGTGCCCCGAATTCCCAGATGGCCCCTTGCCATCGTTTGTTTGGCTGATAGCATGAGGCGTTGTGTTCTCCGTGCCGGAAGGTGGGGTGAGGAGAGGAGCGGGAGATAATTTCTCCGCGTTTGGTACAGCTGGAAACGAGCCGCTGCTTCTGCTCGGGAGAGAGACCCCACTTTCCGATGGGGGTGGGGCCTCGAAATCGGGAGGCAAAGCAATAAGATTACTCGACTGTTCAGCTAGAACACGTCGAACGTTATTTTTCACGTTGGGTGGCACAAATGAATCTAGCAAATGGAAAACAATAAACAAGTAAATAAAAAATAAATAATAAATAAACAAGTAAGAAAATAAGTTGGTTCACCAGTGAGATTAGTACAGCTATGATTATTACCGGCGTGATTGTCTGATAATCCATGTCCAAACCTCAACCTTGTTGCAAAAAGCAAGACATTTCTCGTAAGTAAGTTGTAAATTGGAAGATTGTGAAAAAATGGACTTGATTATTTTCTTACTGTGTGAACTTCCTTAGGTAATGGATTATGCTCCATCTATTTGGCACCCGAAAGGAACCCAAATTTTCAGAATGTTCTAGAGTCCCCTGCCACGTGCTGCTTGAAAACATAACATGTCATAAACAAAACTCCGTTGAAAATGATTAAAAAAAAAAAAG